CTCTCTCTCTCTCTCTCTCTCTCTCTCTCTCTCTCTCGCTCGCTCGCTCGCTCGCTCGCTAGTTTCGAAATACGAAACGGGAATGTATCCTCCCTGTCTCGCGGGAGGATACATTCCCGTTTCGTATTTCGAAACTAGCGAGCGAGCGAGCGAGCGAGCGAGCGAGAGAGAGAGAGAGAGAGAGAGAGAGAGAGAGAGAGAGGGGCGGCGAGTTCGCCGCAACCCTCTCTGCAGGTCACCGCCCCCCCCCCCCCCCCTCTCTCTCTCTCTCTCTCTCTCTCTCTCTCTCTCTTTTCGAAACACTAAACGGGAACTATCGCGGGAAGATGTGTTCCCGTTTAGTGTTCGAAACGAGAGAGAGAGAGAGAGAGAGAGAGAGAGAGAGAGAGAGAGAGAGAGAGAGAAAAAAAAACTGAAAGTCGTCGCCTCTCTCTCTCTCTCTCTCTCTGTGCGACTTTCAGTTGAAAGCGGGGATGAACCCGTTTATTTTTCTTATTTCTTTTTTTTTTTCGTTTTTTTTTTTCGTTTTTTCCGTCGGCTTCACATCGACGTTCAGGATGCCTGCGCCCGGTAGTCCCAGCCTCGGCACGGTTCGGCGTACCGGTCGACCGAGGCTCGGACTCGATAGCTGGGCCAGGTACTGGTGGTTTAAGCCCGGGGTGTTTTAGAGGCCAAGGACTTGACCCTCGATGATTGCTAGCAGCGACAGCCAATGGTTGTCCTAACAGGATAGGCCACCTACCCTACTCCGAGCGCACCCCCTGTCCCTACTATCCTACCTCAGTGTGACCAGCACTTGGGACCATCACCCTACCGGTATCGAGGGCAACTTCAACCAGACAGCAGTGACCAGCACCAAGGTTGGGTCAGCCCCCCAACTCTAGTGGAAGCGGAAGCGGACGAACCTTGCCATACGGGAACTTCGGACGCCAAGCTCATGCAATTTTCTACAGGCCCAATTCAGAGAGTCTACCCAGCAGGAGTACCTAAGCAAGGCAATCCGACACCCACGAGTGCATACTACCGTCCTTCCCCTAACTTACTACCCAAGGCTAGACGAAACTCAGACTAGCCACAGCGACTTATATCCCTACCCTACCCTAGAGCTAAGCCATGCATGAGTAAAACCCGTTGTGTACCTGATAGACCGCCACAGCCTGGTATGTATGTTTGTATGAGGCCATAGGCTAAGTGTATTTTTTTCACGAGCTATTTTTGTGTCTGCCCAAAGGTTTGTGTATGTGCTTTGTGTAACTGTATAGCGAGATGTATATGCCCGAAGACCAGATATGTGCAATACTTTGTAGAAGTCCCAAGCCGGACTCGAACCCGTGATCTATGACATGTGACCTGAAGACTTTACCATTTGAGCAACAATTGCAAACGACACATGTGTGTGATATGCCAGACTGGGGAGATCAACAAAACAACCATGAGCAACAGCCACAAGCAACCCATGAAGTATGAAGACCCAACATACAACACCATCGACAACCCTTGCGTGGTGCGCAAGCAGTGCCATGCGTCAACCCAAGGGTGTGTGTGTCCAGTCGTGCATCATTCTAACACCCTACAGGTGTCCATGCGCAAGACTGCGATTGAGTTTTAAACCCGCAACCTCATACCACAATGCGCATTTCCGACCAGTGTCCTAACCACTGAGGTACATCATCCTGGAAAGATCACAACAAAATCTACGAGCACTCAAAGTTTCAAATTTTTCATGCACTTTCCTGAGCGAGAAAAATCACTGACGTTGGAGTATTTTTTTCTATTGGCCCGTGCATGGCTGAGAGGCAAAAATGAAAAATGCACTAAACCGATGTGATGATTATTTTTTTTCCTTATATTTTTTCTGGAGAAACCACAACCTAATCAACACATTCTCAAACTTCTAGATTTTTGTGCGAATTCTTATGAGCGCAAAAAATTGCCAAAGTTGTCTGCCTTTTGCAAATTGCAGGACGGGACCCGTCGTTACCCCACCGATCATTCATTTGCTACCGCGTCGGTTCTTGGCTGATAGCTGTAGGTCACCCGTAAAAACGCGATGGATCAGTCCTCCGACAAATTCTTCCCCCCCTATACCCTTTTATGCGGTGGTCGTCCGCCGCCCAAAAATATGTCACCTTGACACAAACGGCTAAACCCGCTATACAACAACCCTTATGGTTATGTCACCTTGACACAAACGGCTAAACCCACTACACAACAACCCTTATGGTTGCGAACAACAGTGTATGTGCCCAATACTCTCCTACGCACCACACACAATTCACACATATACACGCGCACATCCGTGATGGGCAAAGACATTCTCCTACGCACCACACACAATTCACACGCATACACGTGCACATCCGTGATGGGCAAAGACCTTGCCAATACCAAATGAGGGAAACAAGCCAACTATCTCAATTGTTTGGCACCGCGAGTGCCATAGGTGATTAATGGGGATTGAAACCACGACCTTTTGAATGTCAGTTGCGTGCTAGACCATGGAGCTAACCCACTTACTCACATTAGCAATTTTAAACCACCAGCACTTCGAAGACATTTTTATTTGGAATGAAAATGCCCTGTGCGTTAGAAAAAACAAATCGGCGTGGGTCTCCTTTTGGTTGGTGCGGCCATCCATTTTGCTTCAAAGGTTGGACCCTAAAAGTTGCAGTTGAATGCAAAGCGTATATTTTTTCCATAGCGGGGAAACATCCTAGTGGTTTAAACCACCAATACTTCTGAGGCACTTTTCTCCAGGGATGGAAACACCATGCGCGCCAAGCTTTATCGAACCACCGACCCGATACTTTTTCTTTTTTTTCCCCCTCTTACCTCTCGGTTATTTGCAGGGAACCCTTATGAATCTTGGTCCTCATAATTTTTATATTCGGCATGATGAGAAATCCAAAATTTGGGGCAATGAGCAGGAAACCAAAGTTGTAATGTTCCCGACGATGGGTCATAATCAGTTGTGTATCACGACTGCCCAAGCACACTATTTCGGATGTGCCTACCTCGTAGGACAATATGGTGGATAAATCCACTAATGCGGCAACCAATTTGCAACTATTATATAAGAAAACAACTACACAGAGGGTAAACTGTACAAACAGAGAGATGAGATGAGAGAATAAGGAGGGGAGTGTTGGGGGGCAGGGGGGGGGATCTATAGATGGATACAACACCAATGTGACAAATGTTGTCGGCATGAATACCCTGACAAGGGTATCGCGCGTGTTTTTGCACTTTGCACTAGGGGCATCTGAGATGGTACGTAAGTTAGCGGCCCACAACCGACTCCCCATAGCCGATATCCCATGAACAAAGTCATAGCTTCGTCCTCGGTTTGATATGAAGTAGCGGGGCCGGACGAGATGGGATAAGAGAGTGAGTGAACGTGCGAGTTTACGGCGCGCATGCAAGATCATAGGTAGAGTCTCAACGTTTACGCGATAAAGTCGCCTGCGGTGCTAGTCGGGAACCCGACCGGTTGGCCAAGACGCTTGACTTTGGGGCGTTTTGGTACGACCATGCAGCATGCGGAACCCCTTTAGTGCTAGTACCAGCCTTGGGCCTAGAGCAATTGGTTACGACACTGGACTTTCGATTTCGAGGTAGGAGGATCTAGGTCAGCAATCGACGACGATGGAGTAGCGGAGCAATTGAAAGAATCAAAGGGTTGAGGGTTTGGTTCGACTATCCTCCTCAATTTTTTACATCATCCCTGACAGTTGAGACCGACTGGTGGGACAAAGGGGTGCCGACGGTCCCCTCCCCTCCGATTTCTGAATCCTTTTTTTTGTTATTATTATTTATTAAATATTTTTTGTCCCATTTTTACTTTAAGGT